GAGTAGCCTCTGGGGCTCCCCTGACTAACAGCTCAAAGAGGGGGCTTCTCAGTCCCAGTGCTGGGCTTTTTGCTAAATGGTCTATAGCCCTCAGGGGGAGCACTGTCAGCCCAGAAATAGTTTTCATTTAAACCATATAAGTTTATTATACACAGACTTATGTGTATTATATGAAATATTAGGTCAATAATGATTCCTTTCAGACATCTTTACTGCTATTTTACTCTCCTCTCTCCTTTTTCTCTTCCCCTCCCTAATTAAAACCCCTTCATTTTTCCCATTCTCTCTTCAAAACCTATACCCTGCTATTTCCCTCTCTATTGCTCCCCCCACCTCACGGTCTGTTCTTACTTTCCTGGCTTCTGTAGTTACTCCAGGTTACACTCACATCTGAAGTTTGGAGCTAGGAACCATGGATGAAAGAGAACATGTGACATTTGTCTTTTTAAATCTGGTTTACTTCATTTAGTACTATCTTTTCTGGTTCTAGCCATTTACCTGAAATTTCATGAAACAAAATGTTCTACATTTTCATTATCCTTTCATCAGTTGATTGTGTGTGTGTGTTTGTGTGTGTGTGTGTGTGTAGCATGAATTCTAACTGATCTTAATAATAAAAATGCAGAGTCAGATACTAGAGGGTGAAAGCTGAGAGATCAGAGAAGCAGGGTGGCAAACCACTAAAGAGTTCTCACCTCTACCAAGGCTCAGACAGAAAGGGCGATCCTGTCCTCTGTCTGTGTCCTCAGATTTACTGCCTAGACTGCACTGCTCCTCAGACGACTGTACTAAGTTCATGTCTTCTCCCGCCTTATGTTCCTCTCTCCACCCAGCCATAGCACTCCTGCCTCCAACTCCCTAGTGATAGAATTAAAGGTGTATGACCCAGTGCTGGGATCACCTTTGTGTGAGCTCTGTTTCTCTTTTAGACAGATTTAATCTTGTGTAGACCAGGGTGACCTTAAGCTCACAGAGTTCCATCTGCCTGTCTCCCTAGTCCTGGAATTAAAGGTGTGTGACACCACTCCCTGGCCTCTAGTGGCTTAATTCTGCACTCTGATCTTCAGGCAAGCTTTATTTGTTAAAACACAAACTATATATATGTAGTTACTCCAGGTTACACTCACATCTGAAGTTTGGAGCTAGGAACCATGGATGAAAGAGAA